CCCCCGCCTCGCCTCCTCCACAATTACTCAATATTAAAATACTCTCCCTCTTCCCCTGATGGCGTCCGGGTGATGGCCGCGCACCCTCCGCGTACTTTTTTTTACACACAGGATGCCCGGGAAATCCCGGGAAACGACTCTCGCTGAGGCGCCGGCGTCATTTTTTCCCAAAATGCTGCTCTCGTTGAGGCGCCGGCCTCATTTCTGCTCCCGAATCGTTCCGAATCGTGCTCCCGCTGCAGCGTGGGCCTCATTTTCGGATCGGTGTTTGGCCTCCGTCGTTCAGGATGGCGTTCTCGCCCCAGCGCGGGCCTTTTTCTCGCGCGCCCATCCGCCCGCCACCACCGCGCCGCACCGCCACCACCACCACCACCACCACCACCACCACCACCACCACCACCACCACACAACCACCAGCACCAGCACCAGTACCAACACCACCACCACCAGCACCACCACCACCACCAGCACCACCACCACCACCATCACCACCACCACCACCACTACCACCACCACCACCACCACCACGACAACCACGCACACACGCACGCACGCACGCACGTGCACCACCACCCACTACGCACGCGCGCGCGGAGCCACAGGTCCGCTACGACACGCGTCCGCGGATAGAGAAAATCAGCGCCATGGTAAGGGATGGGAGGGAGGGGTAGGACGTCAGATATGACGCGAGCGCACCTAGCTTGTCCTCCTCCTCCTCCTCCTCCACCACCCCTCCCCCTCCCCCTCCTCCTCCCCCTCATCCTCCCCCTCCTCCTCCTCCTCCTCCTCCTCCTCCTCCTCCTCCTCCTCCTCCTCCAGGGGGAAGATGATCCTAGATTTCGGTGGTGGTAATATGTCGGTCACCACCATCACCGAGATCGGGATCTCCTTCCCTCGGTGTAGGCACACCGCCGATATTGGTGTTGGTGTCAACCTCGAGGCCTGCGAGAATGGTCACCAGCTTTTTGTTCCCCGTGACGATGCATCGTGCACTGTTACGTGCAAATCTTTGGAGTGTGCAGCGAGTGTACCCTCAGAGGCCTCCATCGGAGTTGCCTCCCACGGGCTCGCGGTCCAGCCTAGTGGTCACCAGCTTTTTGCTCCCGACGCAGTTCGCGACGATGAGTCGTGCACTGTTGCTTGCAAATCTTTGGAGGGTACAGCGAGTGTACCCTCAAAGGCCTCTATCAGCGTTGCCTCCCACCATGTTGTTCGGCGTTCAGCCGTTGTTCGTGCGATCTCCTTTACTTCGGGCGTCGCCCCAAGAGCTCAAACAGGAGCCAAGTGGTGCACCACGCCCCGATCCCCATCAGGCAAGCAGCCCCAAATGCTGCCATTCAAGCGCTCGGGTCGCCATAGCGAAACTAAACCCTTTCCGAAGCCGTGCGATGGTCCTCTTACCCTCCTTTGCTCTAGCGCCTCCCTCTTGTCCTCCTCCTGCTCCATTTCCTCTCTCATCTCTCCTCTTCCTACTCCCACCACGGCCCAAGGTTGGGCCGAAGATCGATGGATCAAATCACAACCTGCCCACGACTCAAGTAGAAACGTCCAAAACGATCGATATGCATGCACGCCCAACACATCCAACACAACACGTCCCGGCGCAATGCTGTCGGAAAGTGGTCCGGCATCAAGAGTACAGTGGTAAAATGCTGACACCACAGAATTTATTAACCACATTTGCAAGACAGAAATATCAATGCAATATGTTCTGAAGCCAAGACGCGGCAGATTAACATGCATGTCTAACTACTCTTCACTAGGAGCTACTGCGCTCTCGTGATGCAGCACGTTCTGCCGCAATTGCTGACACGGGTTCGGTACCCTTATGCTTGACAGCAGCAGTGCTCACATGACAAGACAATCAATCTACGTACGTCGAGAACTCTAACACCAATATTGTCCGTTCCCGACTGCCCAAACTGGAGACTTGGTTGCTGCCTGTAACAACTGAATGATGCAGTGTACAATGTGACGATGTCTTTACAACTCCGTCAAATCCATACCTGGTTGATTCACCGCACCTGGCACTCCGAACGTTGTATTACACAGACTGACAGAGTCCAGTAATGCCTGCGAAAACTGAAAACGCACTGGCTCGACTTCACTTGCAAGATCCAGCGTCGAACTAGCATGTCGTGTTCCACGTGCTGCTTTACGCGGCGTCTTCGATCCAATCCCTGCATCATCTGCTCAGCTAAAAGCAGCAGGACACACAAGCTAAAAGAACATGAGACGTAGAACAAGCAACCGCCAAACTGAGCACAAAGGGAACAGTGCGACACCTGCTATGATGTTGCCATGCGTTGCTTCGACATAGATTGAACCGTTTTGCAACGTCGGAAGCGGCAAAGAGGGGGGCGTCAAAGAGGGGGGGGTGCAAATCATGACCGGCGGCACGTGCGCGGCCCAGCGGGGGGGCCAGGGACGTAATGAAACAAGAAGAGGCGCCACGAAATCTGGGGAAAAATCATGGCCCCCGCCATGATATCCACCCCCCCCTAGTCATCACCCCCCTCTTTTCCGCCCCCGACATAGATTGAACCGTTTTGCAACGCGGGGGGGGGGGTCGATTGAATTCCCGGGGCGGAACCGGAGCTCCAGCTCACCCTGGGGCGGCCCCCTCGCCCGGGAGGGCCCCGACATGGGCCAAAAAAGGCTCCGAGTCGCCGAGCGATCGCTGCGAGACGCCCAGAATGTCCCAGACGGCTCGAGAAGCCTCCAAGATAGGAGCAAGGAAAGGCGACACCAACACCAACAGGGCGAGGAGATGCGTGGAGGCAAGGGGGGTCTCCCTGGTGGTGTGGTCCCCCCCTCTCGCTCGAGACATCCCCAGTCTCCCGCTCGGGGAAGCATTGTGGACCTCCTCGCTGGAGGTGGGCCCCCTGGTGGTGTTGGTGTCGTTTCTCCTCCCTCCGACCAAGATGCCCTCAGAAGCCGTGGGAAAAAGTCCTCCCAAAGAAGGCCCACAGAAGCAACGCATGTCACCTGTCACATTCCCTGGGGGAAACATGCAATTTTAGCAGATTCGCCTCTTCGGCCTTCAGAGCGTCGCAAGCGCCCCAAGAGAGCCCCAAAACCGCCCAAGAAGCCGCAAGGGCTCCAATACAGCCCAAAGAAGGCCCAAGATGGCCTAGGAGGCCCCCCGGAAAACCCAAAAGGGCACCAGGACGGGCCCAAGAGGCGCCTGAGAGGGCGCCAAGACGGCGAAAAAAGTGCCGAAAACGGCCCAAGAAACCCTCAGCAGGCCCCCGGAGGCCCCAAAGAGGCCTGAAGAGGGCCCCGAAAAGGCCCCCTGAAACCCCCTAGAGGCCTCCAAGAGTTTCAAACAACTCATGCAAAACACCTTTTGGAAACCTCCAAACTGCCCCAAAGAAACGCCCCAGAAAGCCCGAAACCGGCCCCAATGCTTCCGCAGCGCTTACGTCTGAACGCGAGCGCTGCAATACGAAAGGTTTTTCCACGTTTTCACATCCTCCCTCGTGTTCGGTGCCCTTCGCATCCATGATCTCGCAGGGGCCCGCGGAGGGCCGCGCGAAGGCCCCAGCAGAGACCGGCGATGCACGAAGCCCCACAAAGAACTGTGACGCAGACAGCTCTAGCACAAAGTTTTTCAGAGAGCGCTCCAAATCGGCGAGGTGTCAACCCAAAGAGGGCCAGCACCTGGCCCCAAAGAGGCTCTCCAACAACCGCCGAACATCTCCAACAACCGCCGAAAATGCCCTCATGCTCGCCGTGTTCCTCCTTCTCCCCCTTACCCTCTTCCACTCCCCGCTCCCCCCTGCTCCTCCTCATCCTCAGCATCCTGCTACTCCCCCACCCCCCTCCACCTCATCATGATCCTCCTCCTCTTCCTCCTCATCCTACTCCGTTGCCTCCAATCCCAATCCTCATCATCATCCTCGACGCTCGCCATCGTCGCCGGTCATGACCGCCATCGTGCGCTTCCGGCAGCAACGAAAGCGTCCGGGATCGGCGGCACTGGCCGGAGCCCACTACAATATATCGAACTGTTTCGCAGCGCAGTGCATCTCACTGCCTAACACTCTCAAAAAATATATACAACATGTGTCGTGCGCTGATTGGTTTGAATTGCACCGTTCTGAACTGCGTTGCTTTGCATTGCATTGTTTGGTTTGCGAGTGGTGTGCTTTGAGGTGTTTCGAATTTCCTTTGGGTCGTTTCGTATTGTGTTGCATAGATTTGCTTCAGCTGCTGTGATCTGAATTGCTTTCCACTGTAGCGCATTGTCCTGCAATGTTTGGATTTGCGCTGATCAGCCCTGAATCGATTTCCACCGCATTGAACTACTTTGACTTGATATGACTTTCCAGTCGCTGAATGGCTTGAGATTGTTGTGTATCGCGTTACGTTCCTGTGCCCGTTGCTTCGCTTCGAGTTGCTTTCCTTCGTGTTGATTTGCTTGGAGCTGTGTTGATCTGCCTTGATTTGAGCTGCCTTACCTTGAACGATGTTGCGTCGAATTTCGTTGCTACACTTCGAAGCGACGTGCTTTGAGCTGCGTGGCTGCGCGTTAAGTTGATTTGCGTTGCTTGGCAGTGCTTTAATGTTTATGTGATTTGCTTCGTGTTTGGTCTGCTCTGCGTTGGTTTGCATGGCGTTAATTCCAAGTTGGAGGATCATCAGGGACCCTGGGACACTGGGTCGGGGAGGGCTTCCCCAAGGAAACTTCGCAAAGGAACCTGGCCTCGAGACACTGTCGCCACCCCGCCCTCGTGCACAGGAAACTAAAGACGAGAGCCTGCTCGGGGAGACAGGTGAGCACTGGCACACTTCCAGCGGCGACCAGCCGAGGCTCGGACTGCAGTGCTCTCGCGTCGCGCCGCTGGGAACCACCATCGGTGCACACCAGGCTGTCAACCTCCTCAAAGTGACCCGCCAACCGTGAAGCCTGGCATCTGCACACGCGGTATCTGGATCTGGCCCGCCCAGACCAATGTCAAGCAAACTATAAAACAAGATCGTCGTCATGGGCGCTCCCTCTGACTTCCGCTAGCGGTACGCCAGGTATCCGGCTCCACACCGTCAGCGCCTCGATGCGGGACAAACAGCATGATTGCGAAACGCAGCTTGCGGGCATCACAGAATAAGGAATGGAGAGGAGGAGGGGGAGTAGGGCAGAGAAGGGCCGAGGAAGGCAGAGGGGGCGAAGCAACAGCAGAGGACGAGCAGGAGGATGAGAAGCAAGAGGAAGATGGTGCTGGGGCCAGAACGAGGAGGATCAAGAGAAAGACGAACAATCGGATGAGGGAGAGGATCAGTTGCAGTAGCGGCAGCAGCAGTACCAGCCAAAAGAGGACGTGGAGGCGACAGCAAAGGCGGAAGAAGCCCTGGGTTCCCGACCACACGACCTCTCTTCAAATGAGCAGCGCGCGACATGGAGAAAAATTATGGGGAAATGGAGGGGATCAGGTGGAGCCATCAGGTGGAGCCAGATTTTCCTCTTCCTCCTCATCCTCCTCCCCTCGCCCGCACGCGGGCCCCAGCGATGGCCCGAATAGGCCCTCCAAGACCACCCCCTTGCTCCAGAGATCTCTCTGTTCACCCTTGTTGCTCTCTTTGCTTCTCTACATGTGTCTCTTCGCCCCTTTTCCCGTCAGCTCTCATTGGCACTGTTTCTGAATGGGCTGGTGGGGACACTTTTTTTTGGTCGCGGGCGGACGCGGATTCGCTGTCGCCGAACTGAGAGGTCCGGGCCACGGGCCTGCCAAATTAGCAACGATCAAGCCTAAAAGCGCAGCGGCCGAGCCCGCTCACAGTGTCTACCGCCGGTGGGGCCGCAGCCTGATGGGGAGCTGGCTGAGCTGACTGCAAACGGCCAGGGTAGCTGATGCACCATGCGAGTGAATTGCTCCAGTACGCCAGGAGAGGTGACCTGCTCTGTAGCAACAGACCACACGTCAGCCGAGCGGGGCGGTGCCACCAGACGGGCGAACCTGGAGTGGCGGCGCGCAGCCAGGGGAACCAAGCTGCCCACCGAAATCGGCGCGCATTGTCAACTCCTTCTACCAAGGCCGGGAACCAAAGCCTAGGAACCCAGCTGCCCACCGAACTCGGCGCGCAACTCTCGCCACCTCACTCATCCAAGACCTCGAACCGCAGCTCAGGAACCCAGAAGCGCACCGAAATCGGCGCGCAACTCGCGCCTTCAATCAAGGCCTGGAACCACATCCCAGGAGTCCAACTGCCCACCGAACTCGGCGCCAAACTCTCGTCAACTCCTGCGATATGACCTGGAACCAGAGACCAGCAACCCAGCTGCGCACCGAAATCGGCGCGCAACTCTCGCTACTTCTTTCAACCAAGATCTGGAACCAAAGCCCGGCAACCCAGCTGCCAACCGAGTCGGCGCGCAACTCCCGTCAACTCCTTCAACCAAGGCCTGGAACCAGAGACCGAGAACCCAGCTACGCACCGAACTCGGCGTAAAACTCTCGCCGCATCATTGAACCTCCCGTAGGACCCTGTCAGTGCGAGCACTACGTGCCAGGGGGCTCCATGGCCCACCTCTCCTACCAGCATTCAGCCATGTCATACCCCATCTCGACCTCCAAATGCCCAAGGCGGCCCACCAAGACGCCCATGAGGCCTCACAAGACGCCACGCCAACGGACCACATGCTGGCCCAAGAGAACCCCAAAAGACGCCCAAAAGGCATGAAGACTACCCCAAGCAGCGCCAAAAGGCATGCCCGACGCTTTCCGGGCCCCTCAGAGGCCAACAACATTGGATCAGTTTGTTTAAATTGTTTTTGCCTAGGAGGACTCAAACACGCACGCACCCAGAAACCCCGAAGAGATATCCGAGCGGTCTTCAAGATGGCGCCAGGACAACGCAAGGACCCCTCAATTGACTTGGGGACGCGAGCCGTCGTAAATTACGGCTCTCTCGCATCGGAGAGCTGTCACACGTTACCGCCTTCTGGCCTGCCTCGACGGATCACCCCACAAAATGTAGGCTGGCACGGCTGAGAGAGCTTGCGGTAACAAGCACGTTGGTATGTACGTGCATGTCATAGCACACAAGCACACACACACATACCTACATACCTACATACATACATACATACATACATACATACATACATACCTACATACATACATACATACATACATACATACGTACGTACATGCATGCATGCATACATACATACATACATGCATACATACATATATTCATATATATATATATCCATACGCACATACATACATACATACATACATACATACATACAGACATACATACATACATACATACACATACATACATACATACATACATACATACATACATACATACATGCACGCATGCACGCATGCACGCATGCATGCATGCACACATACATACATACCTGCATACATACACACATACATACATACATACATGCTTACATGCATGCATGCATGCATGCATGCATGCATGCATGCATACATACATACGTACATACGTACATGCATACATACACACCTACATACCTACATACATACATACATACATACATACATACATGCATGCATGCATGCATACATACATACATATATATATATATATACAAACATACATACATACATGCATACATACAGGCAGACGGACAGGCAGACAGACATACAAACAGACATACATACATATGAAAGAGCGTATTCTACCGCTGCTGGCGGAAAACCGAGGGGGGGTACTACCGGTTTGAACCCCTCCCCCCCCCCTCCGAAAAACCGGGGGGGGTCACTACCGGTTCGAACCCCTGCCCCCCCCCCCACAGTTCATCATGAAAGGGGGGGGGTCACTACCGGTTCGAACCCCCCCACCCCACCCCCCCCTCGAACTCGAAAACCGGGGGGGGTCACTACCGGTTCGAACCCCCCCCCCCCCCTCCCCCCCCCTCGAAAATCGAAGGGGGGTGCGGACAGTGGTGGGGACAGTGGTGGTGGGGACAGTGGTGCGGGGACAGCGGGACAGTGGTGGGGACAGTGGGACAGTGGTGGGGAGGGTAGTGGTGGGGACAATGGTGAGGACAATGGTGGGAACAGTGGGGACAGTGGGACAGTGGTGGGGACGGTGGTGGTGGGGACAGTGGTGTGGGGACAGTGGGAATGTGGTGGAAACAGTAGGACAGTGGAGGGTACAGTGGTGGTGGGGACAGTGGTGAAGGCGGTGGCGAGGACGGCGGTGGGACAATGGGACAGAGGTACAGTGGGGACAGTGGTGGGGACAGTGGGGACAGTGGTGGGAACAGTGGGACAGCTCAGTGGTTCGAACCGGTAGTGACCCCCCCCTCCGGTTTTCGAGGGGGGGGGGGGTTCGAACCGGTAGTGACCCCCCCCGGTTTTCGAGTTCGAGGGGGGGGGGGGGGGGGGGGTCAGGGGAGGGGGGGGTTTGCCGGGGGAGGGGGGGGAGGGGTCCAGCAGGGGGGGGGGATTTTCGGAGGGGGGGGGGGGGAACCCCGGGTTCCGGAGGAAAAGGGCGGCAATTTTCCAGAGTAAAGCGGCGGTGGATCACGCTCTCTCATACATATGTGTACATAGATAGACTCTCTCTCTCATACTCTTCTCACTCCCACTCTCACTATCACCCTCCCTCTCTCCCCCCCTCTTTATCTTTGTCTCTCTCTCTCTCTCTCGCTGTCGCTCCCTCCTCATCTGGGGGGGGGGCAGCAGCTTCATGAGTCAGGGTGTTGAGCTGCGGAGGAAGCACGACGCCTTTGGCCAGGCACGAAGGAGTGGCACGCCGACGGGCGCACGGCGGCGGCGTGTCCTGGATGCTCCCCTTCCCTCCTGGCGGGGAGGGAGGGAGGGAGGGAGGGAGGGAGGGAGGGAGGGTCCTTGCCCCCCCCCCCCCCCTCCCCGGACGAGCTGGAACGGGGGCGGGGAGGCCCTGTCGTCCACGAACACGTGGTCCAGGACCCCGCTGAAGCCGTTCACCTTCCCCCGAGGGGGGCGCGACGACCGGGGGGCGGCGCGACGACCGCGGATCCGGGACGACGACGTGCGCAGCGCGCGACGGCCTTCCGCCTCCTGCTCCTCCTGCGCCTGCGCCTGCGCCTGCGCCTGCTCCTGCTCCTGCCCCTGCTCCTGCTCCTGCCCCTGCTCCTCCTCCTCCTCCTCCTCCTCCTCCTCCTCCTCCTCCTCCTCCTCATCATCATCATCATCATCATCATCATCATCATCATCAGCAACATTATCAGCAACATTATCAGCATCATCAACCTCATCGGCATCATCATCGTCGTCATCGGCATCGTCGTCATCGTCATTGTCATCGTCATCGTCATCATCTCATCATCTCATCATCATCATCATCATCATCATCATCATCATCAGCATCAGCATCATCAACATCAGCATCATCGCCAGCATCATCATCAATATCAACATTATCATTAGCATCATCAGCATCGTCATCGTCATCGTCAGCGTCATCAGCATCAGCATCATCATCATCAGCATCATCATCAGCATCATGATCATCATCATGATCCTGATCCTCATCGTCATCAACATCGTCATCATCGTCACCACCACCATCATCATCATCATCATCATCATCATCATCATCATCATCATTATCAGCAGCAGCATCGTCATCGTCATCGCCATCGTGAGCATCATCAGCTTTCATCCCCATCTTCATCCTCACCCTCGTCATCATCATCCTCATCCTCATCCTCATCCTCATCACGACCGCTATCGCCATCATCATCATAGTTACCATCATCATCAGCATCATCATACATCATAATCATCATCATCATCATCATCATCAGCATCAGCATCAGCATCAGCATCAGCATCAGCATCAGCATCAGCATCAGCATCAGCATCATCATCATCATCATCATCATCATCATCATCATCATCATCATCATCATCATCGCCAGCATCATCAGCATCATCAGCATCGACAGCAGCATCATCAACGTCATCAACATCTTCATCAGCCTCATCGACATCATTAAGGCTCTCCCAAGCCTGAAGACACGAGACGTCACGCGTGACGGCCTCCCTGGGCTGGCAGGGTAGCCGGGCATGCCGCGGGCAGCTGGATAGCGAAAACCTTCCGTCGCGATCGTTGCCACGACGCGAGCTGATCTTGGGAGGTAAGGGTCCCATGTTGGCGATGCTCGTCTTAGGTCGGGCATGTCCTCCTTCAGGCTGACTCTGGAGGAAAAATGAAGCGTCGACAAAATCGATTCAAAACTAATCAAAGAAGTAGTCAAAAAAGGTCCCAAGACCATTATTGGACTATGTTTGAAAATTCCTCCTGTGATGGGACATGCCCGACATAATGCTTGCCGAGCAATATGGTGTTCCCGCCGTACTTAAGGACCACCGCATCCCAGAAACGACTCTGAGCACCCAGAAAAGCGCCGAAACAGGGTCGAACGAGCACCGCCTCCCAGGGCCCGACACGTAGAAACCCTCCACCTTCGGTGCAGTCTTGGTGCTCGAAATTCTTTCAGGTGGTCAAAGCTTGCACGGTTTCGCCCGGGGCCGTAGGCGACCCGAGGAGGAGGAGGAGGAGGACGAGGAGGAGGAGATGGAGGAGGAGATGGAGGAGGAGGAGGAGGAGGAGGAGGAGGAGGAGGAGGAGGATGAGAGGGGAGGAGGGAGGAAGTGGAGGAGGGGGAGGAGGAGAGGAGGAGGAGGAGGAGGAGGAAAAGGAGGAGGAAAAGGAGGAGGAGGAGGAGGAGGAGGAGGAGGAGGAGGAGGACGGGTTGCCTAAGCCCTTCGGAGAAACCCTCCATCAGGGCTACAGGATGTTGGAACATCATAAGTCCAGCACTCGGCGAGACGCCCGAGCGAGGCTCCTCACAGGGCGCCCCTCGCTGCGAGACGGCAGAGACGCCTGCAGCTACAGCGACAGGGCGCGAGCGCGTGCGGAAGGCCGTGGTCTCGGGTGGCTCTTGGCTCCTCCTCCTCCTCCTCCTCCTCGACGCTCAAAGGTAGCGGCCTTTTCCTCCGAGCAGGCCGTCGTCTTGGTTGGCTCTGGAGCAGTCGTGAGAAGAATAATAAGAAGAAAGAAGAAGGAGAAGAAGAAGGATAATAATAATAAGAAGAATAATAATAAGAAGAAGAAGAAAAGGAAGGAGAATAATAACGCCACAAACACAAACTGTCGGCGCTCCGCGCGGATTTCTGGGATCCGCGCTGGGCCCGCCTCCCAAGCGCGCGGAGCGCCCTAGGGGCGGCGCCGGAGGCACCGCTGGGGGCCCCAGTGCGGATCCAAGTCCGCGCGGAGCGCCAAAAGTTTATGTTTATGGCGCGTGTTCTTCTTCGAGTGAGGCCCTCTTGACAGCCTCTTGGGGCTCGCAGGAGCGGTCTTGGAAGGCTTGTGGGCCGTCCAGGGGCAGTTGAGACAAAGCGAAACAAAGGGGAGAGACTGAGAGGCATAGAAAAAACAGCATGACAAGAACATAATGTTTGCTTCTGCCAGCACTCTGGGGGAGCTTCTTGTGAACCTCATGGGCCTCCAGGGGCGTGCCAGGAACGTATGGAAATCATCTTGGGCTTGGGCCGTCTGGGAGCGCTCTTGGGGCGATCTGTGGGCGTGCTCGGAGCCTGCTGCGCCGTCTGGAAGCTGTCGTGGAGGCTTCTCGAGCACTCTTGAGCGCTGTCCCAGGGTCTCGGAGCTGTCTGAGGGGTGACACCGATGGCACGCGCGAAGGTCGCTGGGATATTTTTGCAATCTGGACGAGGGAGAAAACCCGTGCCCCCCCCCCCCGAACCTGGACTCCTGGGATGCAGGGCTGTGTGGCCCCGTGGACGTTCTCAGAAAAGTGAGAGGCTTGGAAAGGGGCACCAACACCAACACCGGGGGGGTGCCTCCACAGGGGGTACTATTTCGGTCACCCTGGAAGCCAAATTATTACCACCATCGCCGAGATCGGGATCTTCTTCCCTCGGTGGAGGCACACCGCCGATCTTGGTGTTGGTGTCAACCTCTGGGCCTGCGAAAAAGGGTCCACCAGCCGTTCCGGGCCTCCAGGGGAGCATTGCCGGGCCTGGCCAGCAGGCTCAGAAAGCCCCAGGACAGCACAGAACCGCTCCAAGAGTGGCCTGGATGGCCTCCGAGACGCCCCAAGACGCCCTCAAGAGGACCCCCTAGAGGCATTCACCGCTACATTCCCGAAGGAAAACGTCATGTTCAACAGATTCGGAACTATTTACCTTGCAGCGTCCACGACGGCGCAAAGGCCCCCCGAAATTGCACCAAGACGGCCCAAGAGGCCTTCAGGAGAGCTGCAACACGACCCAGGAGGGCCCCAGGACAGCTTCAGAGAGCCCCAATATGACCCAAAGGGGGCCCAAGAGGCCTGCAAAAAGCTCACAAGAGAGGCTCAAGAGGGCCACGGGAGGCCCCCAACACAGCCCAGGTCGGCCCAGACGGCCCCAGGATGGCTCCAGGATGGCTCCAGGATGGCTCCAGGGCCCCCCAGAGCCCGAAAGCGTCCCAAAAGGACACCGAAAGGACCCCAGAGGTGTCGCGACGTCGGCGTCCCACCGAAGATCTCTTGACATTCATTTTCCCTGCTCCCAAATTGCACTGCATTGCGCGACCGGGCAACCTAGGCCACGAGCGAGCCCATGTAACAGCCACGCGATGGTCCCCGAAAGTCCTTATTTTGCACGGCTGTGCGTCTTCCAGAAAGCGTTGTCCTGCGAATACTTCAAACTGACCCGAACCCCGAGTTCGCAACACAATTCCTCTGAAATTCATCGCGAACCCGCGACTCGGTGCATACCACAAGAATTCCGTACTCCAGCGCGCCCCGTTGCGACCCGCTGCCACTTCTTGACTTCAGAACGATGCTCGGTTGAACGTTGCCTTTCGCTGACTTCGTGACAATGGCATCCTTGCATTGGCATTGCTTCGTATTGTACGGCATCGCTTGACATTGCATTGGTTTGAGACACTCATTCGTATGGCTTCTCACTACTTCTCATGGGCCAACGCGCGGGGCGCAAGCGGCCACCAGGAACTACCAGGTACCGCTATGCTTGCTCAGGTCGATATCCCCGACGTTCCGCCTGCATGCCAAACTTGAAGGATCAAAGTGACTGGCGCGAAGCTGCACTGCAGTCTTGTGTATATGTATGTGTAGATACACTAGAACCACGCGTGCGCTACGCGCGCTTAGGTTCTTGACGACTGCGCACTCGTTGTCAATAGACCTTGCGCTGATCCACGAAACCCAAGGTACCCAAGGAGAGGTTCCCCAGGCAAGGGCCCCTTGGCGCGTGGAGGTGCTGAGCCTTCTGGGGGGTAGCTTAGGGTTCGGTGGGCGGTCGCGGAGCCGTGCGAGGATCGACGTGCGACGCGTCGGAAAGCTCCGAGTGTTTCCCAGACTGCGCAAGTGCCGTGACTGCCACGGTGGCCAAGGAGAGCCCCAGAGGCTTCAAGCCGCCAGGCCGTCGCCGCCCGCCGCGGGCGCCGCCGCCGCCGTCGCAATGATTGTCGCGGTAGTCGTCGTACTGGTCGTGGTGGTGGTCTTCGTCGTCGTCTGTGGACGTGATCGGCACGTTCTGTGGCGTGTTTTGCTTTTCCGGAGCCTCTGGACTCTGGAGATCTGTGGGGCCTCCAGGACCTCCAGAGGACACCCTGTAAACCTAAGGGGGCGCCAAGCGAGCTCCAAGAGCGCCCCCCGAGCTCCACAAGTTAACACAAATGTAACATCACGCCGTCCTTGACGAGGAAGCGGTTTGTTACGTTTGTGCCTAGGGCCTTCTAGGGGTTCTATTGGGCCGTCTAGGGACCCTCGTAGGGGCCTCTAGGGCCGTCTCGGGGCGTTTGTTTGTTTGGTTGTTTGTTTGTCGTTTTTTTCTTCTGCCGATCCGGACAGCGCGTCGAGTACACATATCTACCTGCCTTGCGCCATGTCTGCATAATAGCAGCGATACAGCGAAAAAAAGAATGAAGTCTCCAGGTACCCTCGGGCTGGGGCAACGATTACTTTGTGATCGTTCGCGGCGCCATCGCAGACGCATAATGAGGATCGGAGGCCAGAGACGAGTGAAACATAGCGGGTGGTCAAGTGTGATCCCTTTCTGTTGAACTGGTCTCGATTCACTTGGACAGTGCGCCTCTGTCTCGACACTGATGGGTGCGAGGAGGGCGATCCTGATGATGGCTTCAACAGGGTCGGGGCTCAGGGGGAGGAGCGGTTCGGGGGCAAGGGGGAGAGTCGGGAAGCCGAAGCCTCGCGAATGGTGGCATGATGATGATGATCATCATCATCATCACCACCACCACCACCATCACCATCACCATCACCATCACCATCACCATCACCATCATCATCATCATCATCATCATCATCATCATCATCATCATCATCATCATCATCATCATCATCATCATCATCATCATCATCATCATCATCATCATCATCATCATCATCATCATCATCATCATCATCATCATCATCATCATCATCATCATCGTCATCAACATCATTTTTGTGATGCTGCTGAAGGCAAAGGGTCGAACTGCAGCTGAGTGCACAAAGCCCCCGGCCGCGCGACAGAGGGTGCGCCACCCTGACTCCGGATCCGCCCTACTTTGGGGAAATCCCACCAGCCCTCTGGGCGTAGGTGGTCTAGAACAGATCCTCTTCCACCCCTCCCTCTTCCCCCTTGGGGAGGGGTTTACCCCTCCCCCTACCCCCTCCCCTGGACCTGGACGGGGGGGGCCGCGGGTAGTTAGAGCGTCCCAGATGGCCCAAGACGGCTCCAAGAGCGCCTCAGAGAACCCAAGATGAGCTCCAAGATGGCTCAAGATAGCGCAAGATCGCTCGAGATGGCTCCTAAGATGGTTCCAAGAAGCCCAAAGACGGCCCCAAGATAACTCCAAGTGGCCAAACAGCTCCCCAAGGAGGCCCCGAAGAGGCCAAAATCGTCCCAAAACCTAAGGAAAATCAATGATTTTTGCTTTCTCGCCTTTTCGCTTCCGATGGCCATCCGAGGCCTGGAGATGGCTCCAAGATGGCCCAAGAGGGCCCCAAGAGAGCCCCAAAAGAGCCCCAAGACGGCCCCAAGAGCGCCCAAGAGCACTCCAAGAGCGTTCCAAGAGGGGTCCAAGAGGCGATTTTAGGGGCTTCCGAGGGGGGGCGCTAATTAAACCCCCCCTCTTGTTTGATCGACTCCCTCCAAGATGGCCCCAAAAGCGCCCCGAAGGCTCCCCAGAGCGCCTCAAGAGGGTCCCAAGAGGCGCCCAAGATGCCCCAAGGCGCCCAAAAAGCCCTCCAAGAGGCCCTCAAAAGACCCCCAAGAAGCTCCTTCCCCTCCTCCTCCTCCTCCTCCGATTCTTCCTCCTTCTCCGTCCTCCTCCTCCTCCTCCTCCTCCTCTTCCCCCTCCTCCTCCGACGACGACGACGACGACGACTCCTCTTCCATCCTCCCCCTCTCGGGGTCTGTGACAGCTTCCCCCGCCCTTTGTTATTCTGCATGCTCCCCGACTTCCCTGATCACCTCAACTCCCCTGAGCATCGTTTCTGGATGGGCTGGTGGGGATACGCGAAGCGTCAACAATTCGTAAATAGGGCTTGGAATTTCCGCCTTACTTTTCAAGCCCCGCTGATGCCAATTTCCGCCCTACTTTTCTGTTGCTGTTTCTGTGGATTTCCGCCCTATTTTATGCTGGGTGCAGCAATTTCCGCCCTACTTTTTCGGCCTCTGATAGGTGGATTTCCGACGCAATTTTAAGTTGGAAAAAAAACCAAAGTAGGGCGGATCCGGAGTCAGGGCAGCGTCCCCCGCGGCCTGCAGCATCGACCTGCCTTTAAGTCGGGCCTGTCCCTCTACAGGAGGAAGATTCAAACATAGTTCCCCAATCAGAGCTTGCCTCTGTAGGGGTCCTAGCGGATTTAAGGGTAGGTGAGGTGTGCCGCCGATTCGGTGGCCGGGCCCGGGTGCCCAGGTGCCCGGGTGCCCGGGCGCCGATTCGGTGGCCGGGCCCGGGCGCCCAGATGCCCGGGTGCCCGGGTGCCCGGTGCCCTGTAGCCCTATAGCCTTATAGCCCTATATCCCTATCGCCCTATAGCCCTATAATAGCCTTATAGTCCTGTAGCCCTACAGCCCAATAGCCCCATAGCCCTATAGCCCCAAACAAATTCTGATTGGGGCTTTTCTCCGGTATCATTTTACAAGATAATCTGGGGACGATTTGTTGTACAATGTTTGGCTATTTGGGGGCATGTTGGGGGTATTGTAATTTTTCGCCCGATATCCGCCTGTAGGGGGACATGCCCGACCTAAAGCTACCTGCAGAACGCGACTCTGGCCGATATACAGGTTTGAAAGGCCACGAGCAAGCGCGGCACTGACAAACAGAGAGGCAAGCTTGCACGCAGGCAGGGCCGCATGCGTACCGAAGACGCCCCACTCACCGAAAGAGCGGGGAGAGGCGACGGAGGGGGGGGGAGGAGGCGACGAAGGGGATCAGAGAGGGAACAAAAAGGAAACTTTGAAGGGGCCCTGGGACACACAAATAAATACACACACATAAAAAGATTCCCTATATTTTCTCATATTTTCTAGGTTTTTGTCTTCCCCCCCACTTCCCATATTTTCTTATATTGTATGGGGAATCGACGATTTATTGTATCTGTGTGTTCCTTTCCCTCCTGAGATGCGACGAAGGGGATCAGAGAGGGAGCAAAAAGGAAACTTGGGCGTGTGCGAAAACAGCCCGCGAGCATCGAAAGAGGAGCTCGCGGTGCGGCTCCGACCGGGCAGCTTGCCCGTTCGCGGGCGCGCACGAGCGCGCACGAGACGTCCTACGCGCGCGCGTGACGCGCACTCCACGCGCGCGCGTCGTGGCACTGCCAGCAGAGAGCACGCGGCATTCGACGCTCCTTGCCGGCATCGGCCCGCATTCGTGAAAGAGCACCGCTGCGACTACCATGCCAACCCACCCCACCCCGTCCCCAACCTCCCCAAATCCCTGCTCCCTCGTTCCGCTCGGTTCTCGGTCCCCGGTCCGGCTTACGGCTGTGCGCAGCTGTGAAAATATATGCGACGTGGCACGCCGCCATGCGCAGCTGATCATGTTAGAATCGGAATCATGAAATAGATGAATGCTTCAATGTCCAGTGCTTCAGCATCGAAATAGAAGACCGTGCTGTGGCCTCGTCCCAATGCACCCCTGCCAGCGCAACAGTGCAAGCGACGGCGCACCTCAGCGCAAAAACGCTGCCGCAGGCTGCTGAGCCAAGCAGCTTCCGACGGGTCAAACAACACGTGCATCAAAGGCTGAAGCGGCCTCCGACTGGTCAAACAACACGTGCATGTTGAAGCAATCAGTGACATTTAGTCACGCGAGAAATCGATCCGAGCGGGGGCGGCGGGCGTGGACTGCCGCTGAACGTGCGCATTCCGCAGGGCTCGTGCGGCGGAGAACTGCCGCCCAGAAACGGCGACGATGGCAGGAACCGTGCAGGCGTGGAGGGAAGGCAGCAAGCGCGCACGGCAGCACTCACGGCCTACCCCCGGTGCCAGGCCGCGCGCCCCTCATTGCGTGCGAGGGAGGAAGCACGGCGGCGGGACGGCGGGCCAGGCCAGCTGCGCGGCGAACCTGGACCGCGCATCCCCCAGCTCTTGCTCCACCCGCGTGCCCGTGACGTAGCGCGGCGAGAGGGACTCCACCGGCGCACGCCGGGGCGCCGCTCCCGACAGCGCCCACCAGCTGCCGGCCATCACCTCGTCGGGCAGGTGCCGGCCGGCAGCCTGCAGATCGGGGCCCGGCGGCCCCGGCTCCAGCGCGCGGCGGGCGGCGCCCCTCACGGCGTCGGAGGCACCCGCCGCGGCGTCGGAGGCGGCCGGCGGCGCTCGGGCGTCGAGAACCGCCGCCAGAAGCGCCGCGCCGCCGGCCTGCGGGCCCACGGCGATCGCCTCGAGAGCGGCGGCGGGCGCCTCCCAGCCAGGCGGCCTGCCACGGTCGGTGGGCCGCGCGCCCCCGGCCGCGTCCCGCGGCGGCGCCTCCCGGGCACCCTGCGGGGGCAGTGCGGAGGCCAGCGAGATCGGCTCGACGGCGCCGAGCAGGGGAGGCGAGGGTGCCGCGGAGGCGGCGGCACGCGGCTGCTCGACCGCGCCGGCCTTGCCGCCGCGCCGCGGCGCGCCCCAGCGGCGCCGCTGCTGCGCCGCGGACACGTAGGCGGTCATGGCGAGGAACTTCTCGAGGCCGTGGTGGTAGTGGCAGGAATCGCAGTTCTGCCCGCGGGGGCAGGGCCCGCCGCTGCCGATGTACCGGCAGGGGTTGCACTGGCCCCTGTGGTGGTTCCGCGAGCCCCGGGATTCCACGTCCATGAGGACGTCCTCGGCGGTGTCCGTGTACCGATCTGGCTCGCACACGCCGTTCCTAGTCGGCACCTGCCGCGCTCGCTGCATAGCGCCGCCTGCGAAAGACCCAACCCCGTCGGGATATCAGATGGTCTGAGCACGGCGGCTCTTGAGCCCAAATGGCTACGGACCGTCTCGGGGCGGTCTTGGGGGCCTCTTGAGACGTCGTGGAGCGCCGGAAGCTCGAAAAGTCGAGACCTTCGAAAACATCTCAAAACCTGAGGAAACTCTCTGGCTCTTGCCTCTTGCGGCCATCTCGGGAGCGCTCCTCGAGCCCTCCAGGGCCGTCGGCGGGCATCTTGGACGAAGACTCGAAGTATCGCTTCGGGCTCCTGCGCTCGGGCCCCTCTTGGGACCGTCTTGGGGCGTCTTGGGCGCCCCTAGGGCCGCCTGGGGCCCCCCTCGGGCCGTCTCTGGGCGCTCCTGGGGGCCTCTTGGCGGTCCCTCGCAGGACGGTCGTGGGGGCCTCTCGGGACGTCGTGGGGCGCTGGAAGCCAGAGAAGTCGAGAGCCCCCAAAGCAGGGAGAAACCCTGGAGCATCCGTGGTTTGGGCCTCTCTGGGGCTCTCTGGGGAACGCTCGGCGAGCCCTCTCAGGCCGGCTGGGGGGCATCTCGGACCGGAAGGCTCGAAACGTCCTTTGGGGTGCCTGCTCGTGGGACCGCCTTGGGGCCGTCTCGGGGCCCTCTTGGGCGGGCCGTGGTGGGACCCTCTTGGCCTGTCTTGGGACGGCTTGGGGGGTCTCTTGGGCCGTCTTGGGGCGGCCTTGGAGGCCTCTTGGGACGTCGTGGAGCGTCGGAAGCTCGAAAGTCGATAATCCCCAAAACAATGAGGAACAGATGGAGCATCGATGGCGATTGCCTCTTGGGGCCCTCTGGGGAGCGCTTGTCGAATCCTCTTGGCCGTCTTGAACCTATCTGGGGCTGCCCGGGATCCCCCCGGGACATCTCGAAGCCTTCTGGTGTCTCTGTGGCGCCACTACAAGCCGTCTAGGAGGCTCTCGGGCCGCTGGAGAGGGTGCCCAGGGAGCCCGGTGTCCACATGGCGACCCGAGGCACCTGGGAGAAGGTCCCTGGCCCTGTACCCGTATATTCCATATTCTCTTTACGTGCCGAAGCAACGCTTGCATGTTAGCCAGCGTGGACCCCCAACAGACTGCTGTTAGCAATACATGGTGTGCAGTACGTGTGGAGCAAAGCGCGTTGTGGAACTCAGGCGGTGCAGTCTGAGCGGTGCGGTCTACGTGGTGCTATTCACCCGTGCTCGCAGTGAGCTGTCAAACCCCACTGCTCGCGCTACCATCCCACCCGGACACCCTGGCCTTGGCCATGAGATCCACACACGCACACACCTCTAGTCATCACCCCCCCTCGGCCGCCCCCGGGCCAGGACAGGTACAAGAACGGCCCCGGAAATGGGATCTCTGAGGTCCAGCGGTTCTGAAGGGTGCGTCGGGCGCCTGGGCAGTTCGCCCAGTCGCGCTCCGAGAGCGTTCCAAAGCGCTCTGGAGCAATTATATCCCTGTCCCGGCTCCGCCCAACAACTGACAACCCAGACCCCCGACGCTGTGATTGTTTCACAACGTCGACCGCACGTGGTCCAGACCCCTTCTCCCGGACCGGCTGTTCATCCTGAATCGTTTTTTGGCAGTCCCGAGGCCCGGGAAGGGGCCCCTGAGGCTGAAGGGGCCCCAGAGGCTGAAAATAGCGAACAACCATCCGTCGTGTTTTTTTTTTTCACCGCGCGAGGGGGCCTGGGAGCCTCCCTCCTCCGACCTTCGCAGCGAACCGCCAGGCCGCCCGCGCCCGCAAGGCCGAAAAGGCCGAGGTGGAGGCGCAGCGCAGGGCGCCATGGAGAGGGAGGCTGTCTTTCGCCTCCCATCTCTCCCCTGGCCCCTGCCCTTTTCCCAAAGCCCCACATGTGGGTCTCAACTGGGCATGAACACGGCGACACCGCCAATGCCACCGTCCCACCACCACCTTCGCAGCGCTCCTCCCCGGGAGCCTCGACTGCTTCCCCCGGAACGGCTGTCCCTCCCGAGTCGCACCTCGGCGGCCCCAGGCCGGGCGAGGGCCCCCCCTCCGGGTCCGACAACTGCCCCAAGCCGCTCGAGGAGGTTCCTCCCCCGCCCGCTCCCAGGAAGTGCCCAAGGGGCGTCAGCACTAGAGGTAGGAGGAGGAGAGGGGGGAGGAGGAGGATGACGAAGAGGAGGAGGAGGAGGAGGAGGAGGAGGAGGAGGAGGAGGAGGAGGAGGAGGAGGAGGGGAGGAAAAGAAGGAGGGAGGAGGAGGAGGAGGAGGAGGAGGAGGGAGGAGGGAGGAGGAGGAGGAGGAGGAGGAGGAGGAGGAGGAGGACGAGGAGGAGGAGGAGGAGGAGGAGGAGGAGGAGGAGGAGGAGGAGGAGGAGCTCGAGAGGATCGGGGTTCCAGGATCGAAGTACGAGGGGCTGTTTTGGACGTTGCCCTGGAGTGTTCCGGGGGGGGGGAAGGGGGAGGGGGGGGCACCGTCCAAGGAACTGGCGCTCGTCCGAAGGCTTTGTGACCTGCCTTAGCGAGCAGAAAATCCACCCTCAAAAATCGCCGGCCCAACGGGCCAGAGGCGTGCTAAGATCTCCGGCAACTGGTTAACAATATTTCTAGTTCGCGCGCGGGGCGGCCCCTGGGGGTCCCCCGGCGAAAAGTACCCCGACCGCAGCGGCACGGCCTCTCCGGCCCCCCAAAGCGCGCCAAGAGGGCCCCAAGAGGCCCCCAAGACTGCCCAAGAGGCCCCCGAGACGCCCAAAGGACGCTCTAAGACGCCGAAGATGATCCCAAGACGGCCCAAGAAGCCGCCAAGACGCTCCAAGTGGCCTCCAAGAGGCCTCACAAGAGCGCTCCGAGAGGCCAGAACCATCAATTTTCCGATGGTTTTGGAAGGAGTTTGGCCTTGTCGCATTTTCGGTTTTGCGATGCTCCCAGACGGCCCAAGAGGCCCCCAAGAGCGCACGAAAACGGCGCAAGAGGCCCCCAGGAAGGCCCCCAGAGAGCCCAAACGGACCCCGAGACGGCCCAAGAGACGCCCAAGACGGCCCAAGAGAGCCCCAAGACGGCCCTAAGAGGGGCCCAAGATGGGGACCACGAGCCGAAACCTCTAGCCTTCCGCCCGAAGAGGGCCCCAGGAGGCCCCGAGGGGCCCCCAAAATGGCCCAAGATGCCGCCAAGAGGCCCCCAAGAGACCCCAGGAGGCTCCAAGGAGGCTCAAAAGAGGCCCTACAAGGCTTCAAAAATGTCTCCCAGGCGCCCCCGAACGGCATCTCAACAGACCCCAGGGCCTCCCGAAGAAGCATCTGGACAACGGCCCTGTTTGGGCCCACGGCGAAACAGTAGCGATCATGCAACGCAACATGGGCCGGCGGAGTGAGCGAAGCGATCCGCCGCCCAACCGGGAACGGCGCGTGAGATCCCCGCCGCATGGTTTGCACGGACTCAGTCCCCTCAATCTGCGCGCGCACGAACTCCTCGTACCAATACCCATTCCTCAGAGCCCTTGCAACCCCTCCTGGGATCCTCCCCGCGGCCTGCTCATTCCGCCGGCCCGGGGGCCACAGCTGCGGAATGAGCGCTCTTTGGCCATCAATTTCGCTTCAGAACACACCTCGTTGGAAATGTTCGTCTTCAAGGCGCCGCCGGCCTCTCTGAGAGGCCTTTTCCGGGAGCTCACTGACTCGATTTTGGAGGCCTCCAGACGCTCTCCTGGGGCGATCTTGGCCGTCCTCCAAGCCATTTTGGTCCAGTCTGGCAGCCCGCCCACCTCTCCTCGGCCCACTTCGACTACAAAAAAAACAACACGCAAAAAACCTTGTAAAACATATATGAATATGTCCATTCTGGCCTTGTCGAGCCTCTATTCTTGCCTCGTTTCGAGCTCACGTGCGTCTTCGCGGGCTCTTGGAAGCACGTTGGAATCAGCGGGCGCTCTCTGCGGCTGTCCTCCACGCCTCCCGACCCCGGCCTGGGCCGTCTGGCAGCATGTTTGGGGTTTTCTTGGGCCATCCTGGGCGCGCCCAGGGGGTCCCCGGAGTCCCTCTTGAGGCCCCCAAACTGACTCGGATCTCGTTTGTATGCCTCTCCGTATGCCTCTTCCTTTCGTCCACACTTTTGCACACCCACAGGCGTCCTTTTTCAATCAATTTCAGACTCTCTTAGGGCTTTCTGGCGTCTTTTTAAATCATGTTCCGGCTCTCTTGGGGCTTTCTGAAAACCTTTAAGACCCCACTTTCGTATTTTTCCAGGCCCTCTGAGACCTTATTGTCCAATCTGGCGTCTTTCTTAGGTCATCTTCCGGCTCTTTCGGGGCTTTCTGAATCTTTAAGACCCCACTTTGGTATCTTTCCAGGCCCTCTGAGACCGTTCTGTCCAAGACCAGCCGGAGGCGCGGGTGAGAGGAGGTACACACCCACAGCACGAAGAGATGACTGACAAAGCCCAGCCAAAGCTGAGTGAACACCCCCGCTACATCCCGATTTGCCCCCCACGCAAACTCCGCGTTCCAAAAAAAAGTGGGGCGGCGGTGTCTGCCCCCTCAGGGGCGTTTAACTGAATAATAACCCCGACAAGCGAAGTCGTTTCGCAAAAGCACCCCGAACAATGAATCGAACAGCGCGGGGGCCGTTTCGTAGACGCCAAGGGCCGCTCAGCAAAAAGCGCCAGTGATCGGGTCTGGGTGGCTTTTCCTCCCTTGAGACCTGGTGGTGACCCCCATTTGAATTACCTGGCGCTCTCCTCCAACACGGGGCCATCCCCGCGCCGTGGCCCCGATGAGGTTCCTCGCCGCCAGGAGAGCCCAGAATCGAATCGACAAGCCCGATCGGCAATCGAAATAAATCGGATCGGAGGAAATCGGCAGCCGAGTCGAGAAACGTCGGATCGGCGGAAATCGACAGGCCGGTAGGCCTTCTTTGACAAATCGGAGCCCAAACCGGAATCCCAAGTCAGATCGAATCGGAATCGGAAGCCATCGAAATCGAAAGCGAATGCCGACCGCAGGGAGGGAGGGGTGCCAACCGACCTGCACTCCACTGCCCTTGTAGCTGAAATCTATTGCGAGGACGGCCGGTGAGGACGCAAGGGCCTTGGATGCCAGGGAAAACCGCGGAGGACG